TACGTTCATGTGGAAGAAGAGTCAATTCTTGCTGGCAGGTTCCTTCGAGGAGTACTTGAATGTTTTCCGGGTGGCCCCTAAGTTGGCTGGTGATGCTTTTTTCCTTGCTTCAAGTGCAGACCGGCAAGCAGATCGTGTAGCCCGGGCGGCCAAGCGGGGCAACAGCTTCGCAACAGATGCTCATGTTCCTATGGAGAGCATGTTGACTGCCCGAGAGATCCTTCGTTACAACACAATTGTCGAGGAGGCCCCAAGAAGAGAGTCCATCGAAGGTGTCTGCATCAGTGACATCGACCAGAACCCGCCCTTCACTTCAATATGCCAGTATGTGCCGCCGTTGATCAAGCATGGCAAGATCGTCAATCTGAAAACAGGCGACATCCTGCTGCCGCAAGAGCTGCTCGCTGTGCAAGGGGAGGCGACTTTCGAGAGTATCTCTAATCCCAGGTTTCCCTGTGAGATGTGGCGGGCTAGTGCGAGGTTGAATTGCTCAGCGGCGGCTTTGACTAAAATGGCTGGCAATGCGTTCCACATCATTCAGATGGGCACTTTCTACCTGTACTGCTTGAGTGCCTTGGTCCCTCGTGCTTCGGTCTCCTCTTTCAGCCGCCGCTCCACCCAACTGGCCCTTGATGTCGAACGGTCTCATTCATGGGGCCTGATCGAAGGGGACGAGGAGCCTGAGATTTGAACGTGTTCATGTGCTGTCTGACACCAAGATTTTCCCTTGCGATGCTAGTGACTGCTAGTGGTCTGTGTGTACAGAATGACAAGTCCTTTCTGCTGAGCACAAGGAACCTGAGCTGCTTTGGCGGCGGCTCACATGTTCAACAAAACTCCTCTGAAGAGAGCAGCAGCAGACATTCAGCTGATTGCACTGTCGTTGTCTTGTGGACTCGGAAGCTTGTTGGATTGAGCCTCATTCAGCATTTTGCTTGATCAGGGGTAGGGCAGGATCGCTGCCGCAAGTGGTCTCGCTATGGATTTGGACGATCTTGAGGATGTCCCACCGCCCCCTCAGGTGCCAGCAAACGCTTCTTCAAGAAGGCCGAAGGCTGCTGCTGGCAAGGATCGCAAAGGCAAGTTCTATGGCCCTTGTGTCGTTTGCGGTTTGGTCAAAGCCGACATGCCGACCAACAGTCGTTTCTGTTGGGACCACAAGAATGCCAATGATGGCTTTGTCAGCAATTGCAAGGCTGATGACAAGGCGGCCGGAAATACAGAGCGCATGGACAAGTACAACAAGATGAAGGATGAAGGCTTCAAGGAAGGCCCGCCGTCGGAGCTTGCCAGCACATTGCTTGAGTATGAAGAGAAGTTTCCGGCCAAGGGCAGAGGTGTCAAACGAGGGCACTGTGACACCATGCAGCTCATGGAGAAGCACGAAGTAAGGACCGCAGTGCGGTCCCAGGCCAAGCTTGTCAAGATGCACAAAGAGCGGTGGTTGAAGGTCGCCACCAAAGACCTCCTCATCCCTCAGCATGAAGCTGAGGCTAAGTGGAACATCGCCGAGGCCAACACTCCTGATGAGTTGACAGACAAGCTAGGCCCAGGTGGTTCGTTGCGCTTGCCAATGAACACTGAAGACTCCATCACTCTGAGCAATGAGGTGGCCTTTATCAAAGAGGCCAACTTGGAGAGCAAGAAACGCAAAGTCACGAAGGCGGAGGACTTTGAGAAGGCCCGCGAGACACTGACAGAGGAGCTGCTGTTCCACTGTAGAGAGGCATTAAAAAACCAAAGGTTTTATGTGGTAACCTTGAACGTTTTGCGACCCAAGACGATGCAAGCATACTGACAGGACCACGTCTCCTTCCAGGATTCAATGTTCGACTCGGTGGGTGGACAGCTTTCTTCCGTGATGAGCAAGCTTGGGAGTAGCATGGTCTCAACCTCTGGCCTTGGTGTCTTCAGTGGCACTTCGGCGACCGCCGGCTTTTCCAAGCCGACATCGCAAGACGGCACGAATTCCTCCCCAGAGAAGCCGAAGCCTGGTGCTGCAGGAAAGGCTTGGGATTCTCACACCCAGTCCGTCAAGCTTCAGTCCGAGATCGAGGAGAAGATCGAGAGCTTTCAATCCAAGGCGACCAAGTGCACTGCATCAAAATTAAGTGCAACGTTTTGTGTCAGGCGCAAACATACCCTGAAGGTTTACCGCCACTTGTTCATTGTAATCTGTAGTCAATCATTAATCGAAAGCCAGACCCCAAACTATGCCACGCATGTCCGTAGCTACCGAGGACTCTGGAGGCTTCTGTGCAAGCCATCGAGAGAACGCTTCATCGCAGCTCGGGTAATGATGCGGTTCGAAACCAGCACAAGTACATCGGCATCCTGCAGAGCAAGATGGACGTGCTCAACATGGTGCAGTGGCACGGTGCTTCGGATACCATCATGATCTTCAAGCCGGACAACTTGAAGAAGCTGGCTGTAGAGGCTGCAGGAGTCTTCAGCCCTTGCCTGGAGCTAGTCAAGAACATCAGCTACGCGACGGACGTCGTCCCCGAGGAGGCCTGGATCGCGAAGTTTATCAAGGCAACCAAGGCAGCCGTCAAGTTTGACGAGAAGTGCAATATGTTTGCAGATCGCTTTGTGTTTCAAACCTTTGGCTGGCAAGCCGAAACCGGAACTTATCTTGAAGGCAGCTTTGGTCGCGACAGGTGTAACGGCTTGGTTGAGGAGCTGCAGGGTGTTCTGCAAAGGTGGGAGTTTGCGGGCTCCTTGCACAATGACCAGAAGTTTCTTTGCCTTTGCAGGTGTGAGGAATGGGCCAGCTCGTGCATGACGGACTTCAGTGGCGAGAACTTTGGCGAGAAGAAAACCAAGCTCCTTGAGGAGCTTGCCAAAGCCTGCAGTGAGGTGGAGAATTTCAAGGTGGATGCCAGTGCGGTTCTTTCCATTATCGGATATGGTGCCGACGGCCAGACGGTCACGGGCGAGCTCACCAAGTTCAAGCTGCTTCGGCTCGCGGCGGGTTTGGGCATGCTGCGAAGCCGGCATGCTTGCAAGCGCATCCTGTCGTATGCCTTGGAGCTCAAGGTTGCACAGGGCAAGCCTTTGCCCGTTCCTGTGGAAGATGAGCTCCCCATGTTGTTTGATCTAGAGGTCATGAATGGTCTCGCAGGTGTTGCCGAGACGGAGGACGACAACAAGCGGCTTCGTGCAGCATTGAAAGTCCGTTGCGAGACCATGGACAAGCTGATGAAGAGTGTGGGCACCAGCCACACCGAGGTGTTGAACAACGTGCAAGCTTCTGACAGGAGAGCTCAAAACGAAAAGGCCAAGGCGGAAAGACTTGCAAAGGCAGAGGAGGAGAAGAAAAAAAGGAAGGCAGCTGTGGACGCTGCGAAAAAAAAGGGGAGCCCAGATGCTGCCGTCGCTGCCACAACTTCGCAGTTTCCGCTCATGGACCTTGAGCACGACGGCATCAAGCCATGGCTTGAGTTCGCCAGCCCGAAAGCCTTGCAGGACGAGTTCAGTGCCAAGAAGATTGATTTGACGGTGCCGTTCGTGCTGCACAAGAGCGAGACCATCGACGCTGCGGTGGATGACAGGCCAGTGAAGGCTGCTGTGTCCATCTTCAAGATCCAGTATCCGAGCAGTTCGCAGGCGAAGACCGAAGGTAAAGGGCAAACGCCGTACCAGGGCACCAGCAAGGACAAGCTGAAGGAGGCTTTGTGCGAGCTTGTCCCAGCCCCTTACCACGTCACATGGGACGCCAAGGAAGGTGAAAACAATGTGGCGGCCAAGTCGGTTGATGCGGTTTCGGTTGCAGGCTTCTCGCCGGGCAACGTGTACCAAGGTCTCGAGAAACAGTCCTTGGCCACCATTCGCCATGTCATCGCAGGCCGTCGGCAGGTCATGATTTTCAACTACATGCACTTGTTTGTGTATGCGAAGGAGAAGAAGATTGAGGCCGTCCAGGGCAAGAAGCACGAGGACTTCGTGAAGCAGGTCGTCGAGTCTTTGAGTGCCGATGGTGCGATGGACATGTTCTACAAGTTGGGTGGCATGGTGCATCGTGCAACCTTCAAGGCGGGTGACACCTACTTCGTCCCGCAGTGCAGCTGGATGCTGGAGCGCACAGTCGGCGATGCTGCTTGCTTTGGTATCCGTACCTCCGTCTTGCTTCGCACCCCATCATGTGGCTACGAGAAATTCCGTGAGGATTACGAGAAGATCCATGGCGAGGACAATGTCGTGAAGTTTTGGCAGAAGCTCAGCAGCCTTTTGCCCGCTCGAAAGGAGTGAAACGGGAGAATGCATAAGATGCATTTGCTTCCTCAGGAGAATGCATAAAATGCATTCGCTTTTAAAGCTTCCAAAGACCTTCAAGGGCCCAAGGGCTCAGTCGTTGGGCTGGGCTGGGCTTGCGACGCTTTCTCCGGGTGCTGTCAAACAGTAGTGAACCAGGGGACCGGTAACCAGGGCTTCAGATTAGGGTTTGAGTGGAGGGGTTTAAGAAAGTAAAGTGTCAGGGTTTCTGGTTTAAGGTTCGCACAGATGAGTTTTTATTGAGGACTTGGTGTGTTCTGTAGAAGGACCCCCTGGGATGTGAGACAGTCTTCACCGCATTATGTCACTATGTCATTCTGTGTGCTACCTAGAAGTTCTGAGGGGGCCCGGCCCCGTATTATTTACAAGATATGGCAACGGAAACTTATATTGAGGCACTCCGTACGCTCGCTAGCAGGACCCCATTTCTTATATTATATATATATATATATTTGATTGATTACGGAAAATGTTGAGGAGGCGCTCGGTAAGCTCGCTAGAAGGATCCCGCTTCAGCGAAATATTCGTAGTCGATTGATGAGTAATTTGCAGAAGTATTTTTTGGAATACGCTTGGTTTCCATGAGACAGAGCAGCAATGATTATCAGTGACAATCCTGGGAACATTTTGGGAGGCAAAGGGCTCTGCGGGGAGCCAACCCTCAGAACACAGATCCTCTGAAATCCTTCATGTC